AATATACTTGCGAAATATATAATAATAGAATATACATATTATATTAAAATACATATATATTGTATATTTACTCATTACTTCATCAAAACAAACTAAGAAAAGCCTGGTCAGATAAGATCGTTTTAATAAGTTACGTACTAACACACACACACATACATGTGTGTTGGAATTTTGGTTAATCCCCGTTGCCACAATTTTGTAACCTAGAAAAGGTTACTGAATAGAATAATCACACAAAGGTTGGTAATGAACGATAATACTTAGAACAAGAACAACACATATAAGATTTGTCAGCGGCGGGTAGAAGAAGTAGTCAACTGCTAGAAGTGAATCAAGTGAATCTTCAACTGCAAACCAATATACAGTATTTACTACTGTATTTATGTGAATGGGGACATACCCATTATCGTCTATAGGTATGCTACAACAATATATATATATATATATATATATATATATATATATATATATCAATACTTAAAGGCGACATAGAAGTCAACATGCTATATGACAGTATATATATATATATATATATATATATATATATATATATATATATATATATATAATTGTATTGATCATTGATTTTGAGCGCTTTCCAAAAAGTACCGCGCATATATAATATATAAATAATATATATAAAAATTGAACATATATATATTTATATTTATATACACACATATTTTACACACACACACACACACACACACACACACACACACACATATATATATATATGCTCATAGTATACACTTTTACTTGATGTTCTTACGCACTTACAGCAACCTTATTCAAAAACACACTGCTTTGAGTGGCTCTTTGGCCTTGTATTAGGGAACAATAATAAATATATATATTGAGACAAAGTGGAAAAGCTTTTTAGTGAAGACGCGTTTGGTTACGTAGTTAGGCAAGCATCTTCAGGTCAGACTGAAAGACAAATCTGTGTGTGTTTTCACTTTATATATATATATATATATATATATATATATATTTGAACTTTATTTCAATCCTTCATGACTTTCAGATCTATAGCTATGATTAATTAATGATGAACATGTCATTTTCGTTTATGATCGATTTCATCACGATTCTTCTGTTAAGCTTGGAGAGTAATTATACATTCATATTGCTCAAAGTAGAGTCCAATAGTGTTATAAAAATCTCGAAGAATTCCAGTACAATGTCTTTAATCATTTCTAAGATACAATGGTTTAAAGCTCCATCTAACAATTGGACAATTTTGCTCTTACACCCGGTGTATACGTACGTACATATATATATATATATATATATATATATATTATAAAATGGACAAAGCCCGATAATTATTTTAGGACATTTTTATGTTTATACATTCTTTTTATAGATACAAATATTTAAGTAAATGCTCTATTTATAATAAACAGTATTAAACAACATTTACCAGCCTGAATGACCGAGAAATTTTCATAAAAAATTATCAGGCTATATGACGGTTCCGTATAGGATATAGGTTCGATTCCTGTCGGAGGACGAATATTTTCAAACAATATTGAATAGTGCCATTTCAAGAGTCAGAGAAAAATCTGTGATTAACGACACTCTTCAACTTGACCATGGACGCACATCGCGGACCAGAGGTCTAAAGCACTATATATATATATATATATATATATATATATATATATATATATATAGTATTACGTCTCCGACAGAATTCGAACCTGCGTCCTCCTTGGCAGGGGAAACCGTTTTAAACCGATTCTGCCACGGGTTATGTCGACGATCAAGCAAAGTTAAATCTTGCCTTAACGCACATCTTTCTCACACTCGTTACCTTTAATAAGGTTTCTTGCACATACATCACTTTACACACACACACGCACACATATATATATATATTAATAAATATACATACTATCTCACACCTCTGGCACGACTTTGAATTTCATGCACGACACAAATTTGACGTTTTTACGGTTTGAATGAAAATATATCACGACGCTGATGTAGTAATACATAATATTACATATTTTTAATATTGAACCTTAAATTAGTAAAGTTAACAAAAACAAATGGGTGAAAAGAAAGTGGAGAAGAAAACTATAATTATGAAAATTAAATTTTAAACTTAAATTCTGATAAAATGAGAAAAAGAAAATGGAAGAGAAAAAATAATAGTCAAAGGGAGGTAATTAAAATGTCGAAGAAACAAAGGTATTAAAAAATATTTCTAAAAAAAAGGTAGAAGAAATTAATAAAAGTTAAAAGCTAAATCTGTTGTAGGGGATTAAAGGAGAAGTTTATTTTTGGTAGCCAGATATATTTTGATTTAAAGCAAAAAACAGTCAATTTGAACTCAGCACCCAAAGATGGCGTCGTGCATGCAACTCAGGATCGAGCTAGAGTTGTGAGATAACACGTATATTTATGAATATATTTATATTTTTGCTGTGTTTCTTTACATAGAGCAATATTTAGTTAAGACCTTCACTATATATACGATATGTTGTAATTTTGTTGTCATATATCCATCTCTCTATCGCTCGCTCTCTCTCTCTATATATATATATATATATATATATATATATATATATATATATATATATATATATATATATTTTGAACAATAAGAAAATAAAAAAATTAAAATCATTAGACACACTGGGTTGTAGATTAATATTCTTTCGTTTTTTTTTTTTTTATTATTATTCCATTTAGATTCCTCGACTAGTTTCGACCGAAATGGCCATCATCGGGAGGAGTAATATTTCTGCTTGCTGTTGGCAGTGAACTACAGAAATGAATGTCTTTTGTTGGAGAAAATGAACTTTTGTCTGAAGTTTTCATTTGTTTTTTATTTTTTTATCTTTTTCACATGAATCTTTTAACATTCCTTGTGTTGGTCAAACAGTCTCTTTTAAGTTGTTATTTGAGATAAGAACTGGATAGATACATTTTATCCTGAATTCTCTGGTCAGTTTGACAGTTTTATTGGACCTGGTGAGGGGATGTGTCTCTGTTTAGTGTTTGTGTGTGTGTTATTTGGTTCTTAGGGAGTGAGTGAGTGTGATATGTGTAAGCGTGTGTATTGCTGTAGGTGTGTGTTTTCATTTGGCTCATTAGGGAGTGAGTGAGTATGGTGTGTGTACGTGTGTATAATCGTGTGGGTGAGTGTATAAGTGTGAGGCCTCAATTCCTCCGTAAGCATGTCTGTCTTGTGTGGGTGAGAAATGTGGGTAGGTTTTGATTTGTTGAGTTATATATTGGTACTAACATATATTGTTAAATTTATGATTTAGCCCGGCTGGGTATTGTGTTTTTAGACGTTGTATCCACTTATTTTCATGGGACTCTAAAATCTTTCTAATGTTATCTGCTCTGAACTTTTCTATTCTCTCAATTATAGTGAATTTGGCATGGGTTTTGAAATCGTGTTTTTCTAGGCGGAAATGTTGTTCTACAGCTAATAATTGTTCATAGGGAGTCGATTTAATTCGCTTACGATAATTATTAATTCTGTAGTGAAAGGGCCATTCAGATTTTCCTACATATTGTTTCTGGCATAGTGTGCATTCTAGGAGGTAAATTATGTTTTGACTTCTACAGTTAGAATCGTGGTAGATTTTGAAAGTAGATTTAGTGATTGAGCTAGTGAATGAATTCGTGTTTTTAATATGGTTGCAACATAAACTTCTTTTGTTGTTACATGGTTGGGAAAATCCTGTTGTTTTTGTTCTCAGTTTCTTACGGATTACCTTGTCCCCTGAAATGTGGTTACTACCTATGATTTCTTTTAGGATCTTAGGTCTACGATATGCAAGAAGGCCGGGTTCCTTAAGCAGTTTTTTTAGGTCTGGTTTGAGATGTAGTATTTCCCAGCGACGTTTGATTATTTGGGATAGTGGAGGCAGAGTGGGGTTGAAAGTGGTTACTAGAGGGATGCGGCTAGATTTATTTTTAATCTTGTACATTAGGGTGTTTTCACTGGGTGTGGAAATTGCTTTATTTATTTGTTCCCTGATTAGGTGTTGTTTATAGCCACGTGTTGTGAATTGATGCTCCAGATTTTCCATGTGCTTATTTAATTCTTCATTGTTGGAACATATCCTTCTGAGTCTAAGTGCTTGTGAATAGGGAAGGTTCTCTTTGAGGTGTTTAGGGTGGGAAGACTTAAAGTGTAGATAGTTGTGGGTGTCGGTGATTTTAGTGTGTAGTGTCGTTTGTAGTTTCCTGTTTTCATCTATGTAAATGCGGGTGTCTAAAAATGTTACTGATGTGGATTTTTCATAGTCAAACTTAATTGAGTCGTGCACTGTGTTTAGGGTCATAAGGAATTGGGTAAGTTTGTCATCACTACCCGTGTATACAAAGAATATATCATCGATATATCTTGCATAGAATACGCAGTCGCTACCAATGATTGGATAGATATGGGTCTCCTCAAAATTTCCCATGAATATTGTAGCATATGATGGAGCTGCAATGGTGCCCATGGCACAACCTCTTATTTGAAGGTAGTGTGTTCCATGAGTTTTATGATGACTTCTGTGGGGGGTCCTGTTTTCTTCTTTTAGTAAGTGCTTCCTGAAGGGCGGCCAGCCCTTCGATGTTTTTAATGTTTGAATAGAGTGACCTAACGTCCATAGTCACTAGAATAGCTTTCTCTGGTACTGTTTGTATGTGATTAATTTTGTTCAGTAGATCTGTTGTGTTTCTGATGTAGGATTTTACATCCTTAGCTAGCGGTTGTATGTAATGGTCTATGTATTTGGAAATTTTTGTCGTGTGGCAGTTGAACGATGAAATAACCGGCCTTCCTGGGTTGTTGCTTTTGTGTATTTTGAGATAGAAACGAGCAGGTGTAATGTTTGTGTGTGTAAGTGCTGTGCATGTTTCCTTGTCGATTAGATTGTTGCGAAGCATTATGTTTATATATATGTATGTATATATATATATGTGTGTGTGTGCGCATGTATGTAATTATATAATAAATATAATCGTAATAAATAAATTAAATGTTCATATCTATCTATCTATCTATCTATCTATCTATCTATCTATCTATGTCTGTTTCTCTCTATCTCTCTATGTATATAATAAATAAAATGTTAATGTTCAGAGGCGAATCAGACCAGGAAACAGTTGCACTATTTACAATATTCGGGCTATTGTCCTCATCTTTGTCGCCATATTTATTACAACGTTTCGGCCGTTGTACGCTCCGGCCTTCTTCAGGTGGTTGGAATGTCAAACTGAACCCTTTATTTCGTTCACTGGGGGAGACTGTTCTAGTTCCACGTTTAATGGATGTCAGTTATCAGTTATTTCCTGTTAATTTCCCCCTGAAAGTTCTCCACTGCCTTAGCCGGGTATTGAACTCACACTCTTTGGGTCCTGTCACTGGATCTAACTAACGCCTTTTTCCACTGTGCCATGTGTATGTATTTCTGGGTATTATAAACCTTATGTCTTCAACAATCATTTTTTTTACCAGTGCTCATTTTAATTTTTGCTGTTATCATTCCATGTTTTTACCAGAGCTCATATTGCAATTTTTGTTGTTATTATTGCTTTTTTGTGTTACTCCTTATTACTGGTTCCCATATTGTATTCATTTCTATGCTTGGTCGGCTCAGGTGATTTTTGTGGCCTAACATATGTACCGAAACGTTGTAATAAATATGGCGACAAAGATGAGGACAATAGTCCGAATAATGTAAATAATGTACATAATATCTCATCTCAGAAATATAGACAGGAAACAGTATTAAAAAGTGTTCAATACACGTGTGAAAAAATAGAATAAAATTAAAAATAAGATGCAGAGCCTTTAACTTTTAACGTTACAACTCTCTCTCTCTTTTATATATATATATATATATATATATATATATATATATATGAAGAAATGTAATCTTAAGATGTGTTATATTTATGGGGTAAAGTGCTCAACATCAGAGATAGAACGTGTGTAAATATAAAAGTGAACATTGAAGTCAACATGTAGATGCGACAGTCCGTTTCATGCTGGACTGGTGGGCTCTAAGTGTTAAAACGGACAATCGCTTCTAAGTGTTGACTTCAATGTTCACTTTATATATATATATATATATATATATATATATATATATATATATATATATAAAGTGAACATTGAAGTCAATACTCAGAGCCTGTCGCCTCTGAGTGTTGACTTTACATACGCTCTATCTCTGATATTGACTACTTTATCCCATAAATATAGCGCACATTAAAACTATATATATATATATATATATGTATGTATGTATATAGTAATAAATAGATTAAATGTTCACTTAACCTAACTCTGAGGTTTGTGGATATTACATTCTCCTTCTGAGGGGATTTATTTGTAAAATTATTTTATTTACAAAAATAACCGAGATAGGATAATCTCGTAAGTTCTACATTTTATGATTTTTGTAAGTAAATCCCTCCTTAAAATTAAACAAGTCCAACAGATCCGACGAAATAAACTCGGCTACTATTTTTGAAAATGAGCTCCAATCAGTGGTTAACTGGGGCATGAAATGGCTTGTAAATTTGAACGCCTCCCAAACATAATTGCTTTTATTTAATCACCACAGAGAACCTTTTCTGCTTGCCACCAGCATGGCTGATGGCAAACAGCCGGGAGAGTACTACTCTACGCTTTCTTGAGCTCACGTTTTCCTCTGGCAGGAAGTGTAGCGGCTAGATTGAATCAATTGCTCGTTCTACTGGTAAGGAAAGTTGATTCACTATATCGCCTATATCCATCTTGCATATTTATATATAGTCCATGTCTTGAATACTACTGCCATATCTGGTTCCTGTTGTATATCTGGAGATACTTGATAAATTTCAAAGAGGTGTCTGTAATATCACTGGTGAGTCAGTCGTTCACTTTTGAACCGACTGCTCGGTTGAACTCTCTTCCTACGGACGGGAGGAACCCGAAGGAGGCTACGCCGAAGGGCGGAGTCTCCTTCGGGGAGGTAAAACCGGCCCTGAACCCGTTTATACGGGTTCAATGAGCATATTTTTGGCTGAGCCCACAGGCTCGGAATGCCCACATTAAAAAGGCCTTGTGCCACATGACACCCACGTGGGGTGGGGGGTGGGGGTGACTCAATATCGTAATATCACTGTTCATCTCGATTTTAGTCATTTTCACCCATGTGACGTGGCTTCCCTCTGTCTTTTCGGATATTTACATCGCGATTCTTCTGATGAGCTTTTATCCTTTATGGGACGTAGTGGAGGTCTCTATTTGTACGCAATATCCTGAAACTACAAATATTGAGACGATATGGTTCAACATCTCTCCGGAGGTCTCTCCATGAAGACTGCGTTCAAGCATGAAACAGACTGTTGCCACTCTGTGTTGACCTCAGTGTTCATATATTTATTATGTATGTATTTAGGTTTAATACAAATATAAATCTGTCACTTAGTTGATTGATGTTACATTTAGCACTGTTTGCCGGATAGTATTATCTCCGTCGAATAGCGACGCCAGGTGGCAGTGCTTTTGTGATATCAATGGTAAAATGTTCTAAGAGGTTTATGACTCCTGGTGGAGAAAGAGCAAAGGACAACAATAATCATAAGAGAGTAGATATTTAAAAACACTCACAGGAAAACCTTATAATAATAATAATAATAATAATAAATGTTCCCATTTATCATTGGGATGTTGGAGTCTCCACTGAGAGCCTCGTATCCCATCGCTTAAGAAGTCCGCGTTATTTGGCGCTGTAAATCTTTCTGCGAATAGTGCTCACCGTCTCAGATCCTACGATTTGATGGAGAACACTCATAATACAAGATCTCCGGTTGAAAACAAAAAACAAAACAAAAAAATGGCGTGAAAGAAGAAAGTATAAAAATAAAAAGAAAAAGCACTCGAGAAAATATGCCACCATTTTTGACGACATGAGGAAGAAATGGTTTTGTTATCAAGGATCATTCATTCAGGTTTTGTATTCATATTTTGGTTTTATTTAAATCTTTCGACATCAGAAATTTCAATAAGAGACGTTCGCGTACTTCCAAAATCTTGTGTGTGTGTGTGTGTGTGTGTGTGTGTGTGTGTCCACTTGCAGTTTACACACGCACACAAATTCGGGAAATAATTTGGTATTTCTCGCTATCAATTTGTTCGTATCTACCTATCTATCGATCCAAATCTGTTCATATCTATCTATCTATCGATCCAAATCTGTTCATATCTATCTATCTATCGATCCAAATCTGTTCATATCTATCTATCTATCTATCTATCTATCTATCTATCTAAGTCTGTTCATATCTATCTATCTATCTATCTATCTAAGTCTGTTCATATCTATCTATCTATCTATCTATCTATCTAAGTCTGTTCATATCTATCTATCTATCTATCTATCTATCTAAGTCTGTTCATATCTATCTATCTATCTATCTATCTATCTATCTATCTATCTATCTACCTACCTATCTATCAATCTATCCTTTAGAAGATTTACAAAACAAAATTGATACTTCATTCTTCTTAATGAAATGTTCATTATCTTCCGTACATTTTACAGCGTTGCCTTTCTAGTTGTAAATACTTTACTTTGCATTTAAACAGAAAATCTTCCGGTAATATAGTATCTTCTAACCTTACCGCAAGATGTGGCGGCGAGGGGATGGGTGGGAGTAGGTTGATTCTTGTTCGCTTAAAAGCCGAGAGCTGCTTTCTCGTCGTTTCGAATAATCGTCGACGAGCGTCTGATTCGCAACCTTTCGGCGTCTAATTTACCTGAAGAACTTGCATATCTCTCCAAGTAGACACGCAACCTCTCCCCCTACAACCCGGCATGTAGCTGCTGACGCACCCATAACCTACTACGACCCGCCCTTTTTTATTTCGTCACTTCTAAGGTGGCGCTTTTAGAGATGCTATAGAGAAAAACACACACGCAGGTGGCACACACATCTCTTTCGATTAGTGTCGGTGCTCAGCTGGTAAAGCTTTTAAAAGTATAAATCCGTAGATACGGTTTCAGCTCCACTTGAAGGCATAATGCTTTTCACATTAAAATTGTCTTAGTGTTTTTATCTCTGTGATCTTTGTGGTGGATGGTGCCGGTTGTCTCTGGGGTAACGTTATTTTATTTTATTTTACAGTAAGGCTCACAAGGTGTACAAGGCCTGAAGGCCACTCAATGTAGAGTGTTACGTTAAGGGGTAGTTTATATGGATAGGAGGGGAAGATAACGGTTAACTCTAGATTTGAACAAGTTACGATTGTAGTGATCGGGGAAACATCCTCTTAGGCGTTTGTTCCACAGAGCCATGGTTCACAGGAAGAAGCTGTTTGAGTGGAACTTACTTCTCATCGATGGAATACGGGGGGAATGTGGCTGGTTTGCTACTATGTAAGTGGCATGGCGGATCCTAGACGTGAAGCTTGGATCATGCGCTAAATGAGTCTCCCATAATCTGTGTTTACCCCGTTAGAATCCTAGAAGAACCACTTTTACTCCATTCATAGAGGGATTTATACAGTTGTGTATCTACGGCAAAGTAGTCCCCCCTCCCACCATCAGGCTACTTTTTGAATTCTACATGTTACTGGTTGCCGCTGCAGCTAAGTGTGCGCCTCTATTTAACCGATAGCCTTTATCCAAGATAATCCATGGGAATTATGACGCAGTTAACGGAAGAGAATTGAGCAGGAATTGAACTCGGTATGGCTAATTAACTTTCCACGCTGATATCCTTTACATTAAAAGCTGAAAAAAATGTAACTTGCGTTCTCCAGTTAATTGTTTTGGGACTGAAAATGTTTATCTACTGTTTTATGCTGGCTGTCAGTCATCTTTGCTGTGACGTCACATACGCATGCGCACAATATATGAGCTGTTCTGGCTTTGACATCACATTGCATGCTTTGTATTTAGAGCTTCGTATTCTTTTAAATTTGATAGATTTTTGCGTAACTCTAACTTATTTTCTGGAAGTCTATCACTCTAGCAATAGCAATGATTGTATTTCGACCCCCCACCCCCGCCAGGCAGTATATTTCTGTAAGATACCTTTATTTTTTTTTTTAAGGCAATTGGTTTTTGCAACGATTCTGGTCGATATCAAAAGATAGAGAATTAACAGTAATAGACAAAAACTTAATATGAATGAAGACAAAAGGTAAACTTATCTTAGACGACACGTTTCAAGGCAAAAGTAAGTATTCTTGGACTAACATTCTCAGCTGACATGAAGTGAAAAGACTATATTGATTCCATTTGTTGCTAAGAAAGTTGGTTCGCTCTATATTGTGTGAGACAATTTTTCTCTTGAGAATCTATCGTTCTATAAGTCTACCATTTGTCACTGCTTAGAATATCACTGCCACATATGGTGCAGTACTCCTGCTATTTAACTTGAGCTCCTTGATAAAATCGAAAGAAGAATCAGGAATATTATTGGACCTGATCTGGCAGCTTAACTTGAGTCACTTCCCCACCGCCACAAGGTTACCTTTCTGTGCCTTGTCTATAAATACTTTCATGGTAATTGTTTAGATGCTCTCTTCGCTATGGTATGAATTGTACATATAGGAACTAGTTAGGATTTTCATAGAGACAATGAGGTATTATGGTGAATGTAGTAAGAAAGGTAAGTAAGAATTTTTGAATTTAAGCGCATTACTGAACTGGCGTCGAGATCTCATTTATTTACAATTAATCTGGTTATATGAAACCTTAAATTCTATGCTAGCAGTTTCTTTTCTCGTACTTTTCGCTTGTGGAACTCCCTTCTGGCTCCATGTTTTCTAACCAACTTTAATCTTCAAAAATTTAAATGCAATGTCAATCGCTATCTACTATCCTCCTGATTACTCTTTCCTTTTCCCATTCATTATCAATGTTACTGTTCCTAATTTTTCTCAACCCTGTAAATCCTTGTGTCTTAGTGACTTCACTACATTGAGTGGGGTGAAATGAATTAAAAAATATCAATCATCCGTTGTGGTCTCTATGCCCTTTATTTACTCATAAACCGGTATTTTCATATGTCATGTCTCTTCAGGACGTGGGCAATCATGGCTCTCCACAACTTTCTTTTGTAGCTCTTAGTAAGGTTTGCCCTTTCACCATCTTTTGCTACTCCCTGTTTTAACTTACGCACAAATACACTTGGGAAATGTATAAATCCATCTCCTCCCCTAATCTATGGGTTAAATAGTGGAATTTATATCTGAAAAAAATCATTGTTATTCTAAAAAAATGTTAATTCAGTATTCGCTTGCAAAATAGACTTCTTATAATCCAAAATATTCTAGCTTTAAACAACCCAAGAAGGGTTGATAAGCCGTAAAAATGAAATTAGTCAATCGATCACTCAATCCCAGTCTTTCTTTTCTCATCTATTTACATTCGCTTCTAAAGTAAAGCTACTTTCGGCTGTTTTCCTCTCTGCCTCTTGCTTTCGATTGGTCCTGTGAGTGTCAGGTTCTCCTAACCGTCTTTCCTTATTATGCATCCTACGTATTTCAGTAGTCTCTTTTGGATTCTAAGAGTCCTTTTTGCTTCCATTTTCCTGAAAACTCCTTCGTTACGCACATGTTCAGTTTATGGTATTCACAGAAGCCTTATGTAGAACAATATTCCTGTTACCACAAGTCTTTTCTTCATCTGTGAAGGAATTGTCACGAATTCGATGTCATTTAAAAGGACAGATTTTCCAAAACAGTTCAACACTCTTTAGTTTGTAATTAAATTTTCCTGTTTCTTAATACTTTGCTTAGCTTTCGCAAGACGTCTTTCCCTATTCCAATGTACATTCGGATTTCGGTGCCATATCTGCTGTAAATGTGCTTTTACGTGAAATTAAGATCATAAAACGAGAAAATAGGTAGCCTACCCCTTCTGGATTGAATAGATCCGCAAAACACCAAATGAGTGTTCAGCAGCTGATAGATTTATTAAATGGTGACTGATTATTTTTCCCGGTTATTAACAATTTGTGGCTTATTTAAAGCTGAAACATATTTTGGGGGAATAATTATTTTTTGCCTTAACAATAATAACAAGAATATCGCCTTAACAACAATAATAAGGATATTGCCTTAACAATAATAATAAGGGTATTGCCTTAACAATAATAATAAGGGATATGATTAAGGTTAAATAAGTTATAATCAAACATTTGCAAATCTGTCATTTCTTTGTTTTTTAGCCTTATTATTAAAGAGTTCATTTTAATATTTTAAATCCGAAATTATGGGATGAGGATATATCATTATATTTACATTTGATATAAGGTCCTCATCTTTGTTGTTTTTTTCACTATATATATATATATATATATATATATATATATATATATATATATGTGTGTGTGTGTGTGTGGGGGGGTGTGTGTGTTTCACTATATAATAAAAACACTAGAAAAATGATGATATTAGCCTAACTGTAATAATATAAATAACTTTCATCATCATCATCCTTATCAACGGTTGCACGATAGCGGGTGGTTGTAGAGTCACCGTGAAGCTGAGAAAGTGACCAGCTTCCTCCACATGTCTCAGTTGCGTGCCAATGCCTGAATCTCTGAAATCATCTTCCACTTCCGTCAGTGACATTGTCAGGCCATTTTTCCTTGTAGAAGGATAGCAGAAAGATTCTTGTCTCTTCTGGCGTGTTCATAGAATTTCAACTTTCTCTTCTTGGCACCGGTTATCATGTCTTCTAGTTGGCCTGTTTATTTCCTGGTGGTATCTTGCCTGCTATCATTTATAAACTTCGGTCTCCATAAAAGAACCCTAGAATGATTAGGTGGCATCTCATTTGGAATGTTTCGATTCTTCGTTCTAATTCTAAAGGCGTACAAAAAAGACTGAGAAAGCCAATAAGTTTCATATCCTAAAACATATTTTCTCGGTGTCAATCGATTCTCTCACTTGTGATGTAATGTTTGTTGTGTCGTACAATCATCTCACAAGACAATTCACTTTGTTATACAGGCAACGTATAAGCGATATTTAACAATCACATCTCGCCACAGGGGTTTAGATAAGCGGTTTTTCATCACTCTTAAATCTGACTTGTTTTGGGGGCGCCATTTGACCCACGCCTTCGTGCCCCACTCCCCCGCCTTCTGACATTTTGCTAATTTATATTCGTTTAACGCATTCACCCAACGAAACACGAAAAGCCTTTTCTGGAATCTCCTCATTTGGCAGCAGAAATAAGTAAAGTTATTAACAGAATGTGTAAATTATTATTATTATTATTATTATTATTATTATTAATAATAATAATAATAATGAATCAAAGCCAACCGCCCAGACATTGTTATTAGAGATCGCACACAAAAAAGTACCTTCTTATTGATATGGCAGTCCCTGCAGACTGCAATGTATCTTTGAAGATATTCAAAAAGCTATCAAAATACAAGGACCTTGAAATCGAAATCTAAAAAATGTGGCACATAGGAACATCAACAATCCCCGTTGTAGTTGGAACCCTCGGATTGGTTGGAAAAGATTCCAGTAGACTAATTGAAGGGATTCCTGGAAGTCCATGCCTTAAAGAAATACAAAAAATTGTTCTCACGAGTACAGCCCACACCTTACGAAGGGTTTTGTCTATGTAAAATATGTTTTTTTTTTTCTAGTGGAAAATATCCTGATGTCATTTCTGACCTTAGGTCCCTGGGCGGGACCCGGAAAGAAAGGAGTACACATCAGAAATCAAAGGAAATAAAATAATAATAATAGTTAAGAGAAGAGCGCGATTTAAGAAAAGAAAAAACACAGCGTTTGACAATATTAAACAATGTTTCGACAGAATGCCTGTCTTCTTCAAGTTATATTTTTAAAAAAAATTAACAAGTGTAAAAATATCTGTCTATATCTCTGAGATGAGGTATTATGATTACATGCATTATTTACACTATTTGGACTGTTATCCTCATCTTCATCGCCATATTCATAACGTTTCGGTCGTGTTACGCTCCGACCTACTTCAGGTGATTGGAATTACGAACCGAACCCTTTATTTCGTTCACCGGAGTAGATCGTTCTCATTCCACGTGCCATGCCTCTTCCTGATGTCTTAGTTTTTTCCTTTTAACTCAACTGCACAAGTTTTTAATTCACCACTGCTGTGAACTCAACTCCCGTGGAACAAGAACAATCGGCGGACGCAATAAAGGGTTCGGTTCTAAATTCCAATCACCTGAAGAAGGCAGGAGCGTACAACGACCGAAACGTTGTGAATATGGCAATGAAGTTGAGGATAACAGTCCGAATAATGTAAATAATGCAAGTAAGTCTAAAAATCTATGAATCTACATAGTTTATAACAAATATGCCATCCATTCTGGTATTTATAGAAAGATGGGATTGCAGTGAAAACCAAAATGGACGACCGGGAAAAAGAACGAATTTTTGATTTGATATGTTTAATAAACCAGTTATTACTTTTAATTGATAATTAATTAGTTAAATCTAATTTAATTAGTTAATATTAAATACCGCATACTTAATGTATTGACAGGCGAAGAAATATTTAATTAATTATTTATTAAATATTTAATTATTAACTGAATATTGTTTTAGTTTGTATTCCGACATTTTCGCATGTATATGACTATTTGAGATTAGTTTTTATTTTAGTAGTAGAAAAGTTTTATGGTATTGGCGAAATTAGTTTTTTCTATATAAGAAACCAATGTTAAGTCCCTCTACAAGAGATAATGGTACCATCTAAGCAAATACTACCTACTGCACAGTAAGGTCAATGGCGATTAAATCGGTTCCCCAACCAGGGTTTTCTGGTGGGGAGCGTGGGGAGACATCCAGCAGAATCACAAAAAAAAAAAAAAACAAACAAAAAAACAAAAAACAAGGCCTGTCAAAGAGCGGATGAACCTTCTTGTAGGGTCAAAGGCCATCTAGCGGAATGTCGCAAAACTGCGCATGATGTGACGACATCGTTGGGAGGAGAGCTTCCTAGGTTGAAGTCAACGAACAGGGCG